TAAATGCTTGATGAATTTTCAAAAGTGAGAACACCATGTAACCTGCATCCAGATTAAAAAAAAAATCACTGGTATTTTCTAATTTCCATTACATTTTCTTCTTTAATTACACATGGTAATTTAGAAGTGTTCTTAAAAACTATATTTGGGCTCGGTGACGTGGCGGGGGTGGGGGGGGCAGGCCCAGGGCGTGGCGGTCATGGCGGCGGCAGCGGAGCTAGAGCAGAGCGGAGCCACCACGGGGGCCCGGCTGAGCATGTTGGGCCACGTGGTCCTCTCCCCAGTCTGGTTCCTGTACAGCCTGCTCATGAAGCTGTTCCAAAGCTCCACCCCAGCCATCACCCTCGAGAACCTGGACATCAAGTACCTGCTGCGGCTGATTGACAGGGAGGTCATCAGCCTTGACACCTTATGGTTCCACTTTGCTCTACCGTCGCCCCAGCACATCCTGGGCCTCCCCGTAGGGCTAGCACATCTACCTCTCGGCTTGAATCGATGGGAACCTGGTCATTCTGCCCTACACACCTGTCTCCAGTGATGACAAGGGCTTTGTGGACCTGGTCATCAAGGTTTGCTTCAAAGACACACACCCCAAGTTTCCCGCTGGTGGGAAGATGTCCCAGTACCTGTAAAGCATGAAGATTGGAGGCACCATTGAGTTCCGAGACCCAAATGGGCTGCTGGTCTACCAGGGCAAAGGGAAGTTTGCCATCTGTGCGGACAAGAAATCCAACCCTGTCATCAAGACCGTGAAGTCTGTGGGCATGTTTGCGGGAGGAACAGGCATCACCCCAATGCTGCAGGTGATCCGTGCCATCATGAAGGACAGGGACGATCACACCCTGTGCCACCTGCGCTCTGCCAACCAGACTGAGAAGGACCTCCTGCTGCGGCCGGAGCTGGAGGATCTGAAGAACGAACATTCTGCGTGCTTCAAGCTCTGGTACATGGTGGACAGAGCCCCTGGAGCTTGGGACTACAGCCAGGGCTTCGTGAACGAGGAGATGATCCGGGACCACCTTCCACCCCTGGAGGAGGAGCCGCTGGTGCTGATGTGCGGACCGCCGTGCATGATCCAGTATGCCTGCCTGCCCAACCTGGACAGCGTGGGCCACCCCAAGGAGCGCTCCTTCGCCTTCTGATGGGCAGGCCCGGGCTACTGGCTCCGCCCCAAACTCACCGTGCCCTGTCTGCACCCAACCCTCCTGCTGTTGTCTGTTAATACCACTCTCCCCCCACATCTCCTGCTGCGGCCGGGTTCAGCCTGGCCTGCCCGTGCCTGGGAGGTCACCCAGCTCGGCTGGTCCCCAAGGGGCCCCTTTGGGAGCAGGGCTCTGTTACAGGTGGGCCGCTGTCAGCCATCTTTAGGGCAGATCCCTGTCTGGGCCTCACTGGAGATGCCCTTCCCCACCCCCTCCTGGCAGGGGCTGCTGGGTGAGAGGCTGCCTCGACCAGGGTACAGCAGGCCCGGCCAGCAGGGAGTTGCACTCTCTCTGGAGCTGGAGTAGGAGGAAGGGGCTGGCCGAGGGCCCTTCCAGCTGGCACATGGGCCCTCCCAAAGCCTCAGCATTTCCCCAAAACACCCAAACATTCGGGCAGCTTTGGAAGCTCCAACCAGTCGACCTCTGATTGACCAGCTTGGGGTCCCGGGCTGCCAGCCCTAATGGCAGAGCTAAGACGATGTATTTATCCCTCTGTCCCAGACCCCCCTCCTGCTGCCCTCACCCCCGGTGGGGGAGATTTTGAGCAGAGCCTCTTGTCTGAGGGATATTCTCAGTGGCCTCGACGTTGCCTTTAGACCACAGCGTGTCAGCCTCTTGCATATCAGCTTTTTAGAGTCACTTATGAGCAAATTGAAGTAAAACTTTAATTTGGGGAAAAAAAAGAAAACTAATATATTTGTAAATATTTTAAAGAAATTCATTTGTTGTTGAATTCTAACTTAATTCTCTTGAGAATTCCTTAGAGAATGTGGACTCTAATACCAAGAATTCTTGGGAATTTGTGAAAAGTGTTTCAGGGTCTAGTACACTTTTTTTTTTTTTTGGCCTGAAGTCTATTTCGTCTGATATTAATATAACTACATGAGGTTTACTTTGGTATTGGTTAGCATTATTTTCCTTTTAACTGTGTTGTGTACTTATATTTCAGGTGCATATTTCACAAACAGGATATAGCTGGATTTCGTATCTTAAACTAGCAGGTTTGCTTCGTTTACATTTGTTCTGACTCCTAACATTTGGATTTATTTCTACAATCTTATTTTGTGGTTTCTATGTCACAGTATGAAAAGTTGTGCAGTTTTAAGTGTTATTATTAAAAGATTCTTAGGACACCTTGTATTTATCCCGCTTTTTCATGCTCCTCTCTCCTTTCCTGTTGATTTGTTAAAATTTTCTTTAAACCATTTCCCAACCACTGGTTTGGAAGTTATACAAGAATATATAGCTTTTTTAGACTTTAGTTCATCTTTTTCCCAAACAGTAAAAAGACCTTGGGAGGTATGGATGTCAACTGCCTATCTATTTTGCAGGATGCTGTCCAGAATTTTAGTTGTACCTTATGTTACTACTCAGACATTACTAACTCATCACTACCACTGCTTTATACAGTCAATGATAGTTTAGATATTCCCAATGTTTTCCAAGCTTTTTCAGCAATCCTCAAGTCTCTTTCCTTCCTCCTGCATTGAATCTTTTGTTGTTGTTGTTGTTGTTGGCGGTGTTGGGTCTTCGTTGCTGTGCACGGGCTTTCTCTATTTGTGGAGAGCAGGTGGCTACTCTTTGTTGCGGTGTGCGGGCTTCTCTTCTTGTGGAGCACGGGCTCTAGGTGCATGGGCTTCAGTAGTTGCAGCACACAGGATTCAGCAGTTGTGGCGCATGGGCTTAGTTGCTCTGCAGCACGTGGGATCGTCCCAGACCAGGGCTCAAACCCATGTCCCCTGCATTGGGAGGCAGATTCTTAACCACTGAGCCATCAGGGAAGTCCTGAATCTCCTTCTTGTTATACGCCAAGTTGCTTCGTGAGGGTCTGCTATTGTTAAACTTTTAATTTTGTTCTTTTGCTGGGCACAGAATCAGTCATCACAGATTAGTCATCTTCTCTTTAGCAATTTGAGCCTATTCTTTTTTTTTTTTTTTGCGGTACGCGGGCCTCTCACTGTTGTGGCCTCTCCCGTTGCAGAGCACAGGCACCGGACATGCAGGCTCAGCGGCCATGGCTCACGGGCCCAGCCGCTCCACGGCATGTGGGATCTTCCCGGACCGGGGCACGAACCCGTGTCCCCTGCATCGGCAGGGGTCTCTCAACCACTGCGCCACCAGGGAAGACCTTGAGCCTATTCTTTATCTTCTGACTTCCATTCTTGCAGTTGGGAAACCAGCTCTCAGCCTAATTGCTTTTTCTTTTTTGTGTGTTGTGTGTTTTTATCTTCTTTGCATTGCTTCTTATGATCTTCACTAATGTTTTGCATTTTGACTGTGATGTTTCTTAGTTCTAGACTTAGGTTTATTTATCCTGATTTGGGCTCACTGGTTTCCTGAATCTGAGAATGTAAAGATTTTACATTTAAAATGTTTAATTTTGGAAAATTCTGGTCATCGTCTCTGTGTATATTGTGGCTCCCCAGGGTCTTCTGGAGGGAGGCCACCAGGGCTTGCTGCAGATGTGGGCATGCGAGTGAGGGGTGGGGCATTAAGGGTGCCTGCAAGGGCTTTGGCCTGAGCCCTGGGCCAGGGCAACATCCTTTACTCCACACGGTAGAAGGCCAAGATTCCACTCAGGCTGATGCCCACTAGACCTCCGAGGAGGAGCTGGGTGATATGGGAGAGGGAGAATAAAACGGTCCTTGAATGTAAGAGGGTGTGGGGCAGGCAGGGCCATCAGTGTTGGAGGGACAGTGGGTACAGGTGCCTGCAGTGGGAACACAAGCTCCTCCTGCCCATGTGCCCACCATGATCCCCTCCATGGACCAGGCAGCGGTTCTCAGGCTCCAGTGTGTGCACGAATCGCATGTAGAGCCTGTTAACTGGTCTCCTGGGCCCCGTCCCGAGACTCTGCCTCAGCAGGTCAGGGTGGGCCTGTGAACCTGCATTTGTAGTGAGCTCGAAGGGGATGCTGATGTTGCTGGTACCAGGACCACACTCTAAGGAAGACCACTGGGCTGGGGAGGGATGGGGGCAAGCTGTTGGTGATCTGAGGGTTGGGGGTTGTAACAGTCATCTCAGATGAGAGGGATACATTTTGCTCATGTGCTCTCCTCTGTGTGGCCCCCCTAGAAGGGGTGGCCCTGGTGGCCCAGTGCAATGGTTCTGCCGTCCCATTGCCTGTTCCCGTCTTCCCTGGGGGATGTAGGGGCACTGGGAGCTGGTGACACCACACGGAGCCACACATAGGTTGGCGTGAGCCTGCACCTCCCCCTGGTCATCCGTGGGGAGTCAGCACCACGCTGCATCAGATGGAAGGCAGGCAGCATGCGTAACTGATGGAATTTAATGTACTCATGACACAAACACAGACAGGGTTGAAGGGGGTGGTGTCCAAGCACGGATGTGGATGACCCGTGCGCCCCACCTCTGAGGCCGGGGGCCCTTCCTGGACCCCACCTCCCCTGGTGGGACAAACACTGATGTGGCTGAGTGACAGCATCGTGTGGCACAGGCTGGCCCTAAGAAGGAGCCTCTGTTGAAGCCTATGCGTCCAGGCTAAGGAGCCTCCAAGGAACAGCCATAAGCTGCAGCCTCCGATCAAAGTGCCAGGTTCTGGCCTGATGTGGGAAGGCGACCCAGCGTCAGCCTCGCTGGGGAGGAGGGCGAGGAACGGGGAGGTCCTGTCCTCGCTAAGTGCTGCCTGAGCGCTTCAGGATGAGGGGCAGGAGGCGTGGACAGTGAAGTTCACGTAAACAGCAACGGACGAAGACAAAAATCCAGGAACACTCAATAAACCTACAACATTCAACAGAATGGCAACAAAACGGTGGCCCTGCCAGCCCGGCCAGACAGTGGTCTGGCGAGCGTTTCCCGATCTTTTCGTGACTAGGAGCTACAACAGCACAGAAGGCTGTATTTGATCTCTGGAGGGAAAGATTTCTTTCCTTCCCTTCAAACTGACTCGGGGGCAGAGACGAGACTTCTTGAAGATAAGCCTCTTCTGGGAAAAGGGACTTGGGGGATGAGAGTGGCGACGGCACAGCAGGTGCGCCTGGAGGAGGAGGGGCCCCTGGGTGGAGCCGGGAGGGTGGCTGGTGTCCCGGGGAGCCCTTCCTTCTGGCAGGCTTGGCAGGTGCTTCCTCCCGGTGCTTCCACCAGGAGCCCCAGTGCCGGGCCGGGAGCGTTGGCCACCGTGGCCCCTCACTGGGTCCGGAGCTGGTAATCTAGGAGTGAGGAGGAGGCGTCTGTTGTCTGCTCTGCACCCTGGACCCACCTTCCCCCGACCCTGGGGCTGCTCCGTGAGCACCAGCCTGGAGACAGCAGCATGCCCACCAGGGACCTTTTCAGCACCCCCCCCCCCACCTTCCCCCGACCCTGGGGCTGCTCCGTGAGCACCAGCCTGGAGACAGCAGCATGCCCACCAGGGACCTTTTCAGCCCCCCCCCCCCCGACCTGCCCTATGGGTGGGCCGCACGCACCTCCGTTCTGAGTGATGTAACGAACCCACGGTAGGGCCTGGTAGCCGCTCTTCTCGATGATCTTCAGGTAGCGCACCTGGGGCACAGGTACCAGGGCCCTAAGCATGCACACACCCCCATCCCCCTTCCTGGTCCCCCCTTAGTCATTCCTCCCGGGGCCAGGCTGTGACCAGGAGGCCGAGGGAGGGGGCAAAGGGCCTTGATCCGTCTGAACCTCTCTGAGGCTGAGGGAGGGTGGAGGTACTTCCAGAAGATGTGGCAAAGAGCCAGATGTGTGCTCTCGGGCACAGCCCTCTAGCAGATTCCTGGAGAAGGGGTCCCGTCCAGGGTTCTCTTCCCCATGCAGGTCTTCCACGGAGGTGCCCAGGAAAACGGGTCCCGTGGTGGCAAGTGTGTGGATGCTAGAGGCTCAAACTCTAGTTTTGGGGACTGAATGCGTCTCTGAGCTTGGAGCTCAAGCACAGGTCAGGTCTGGGTAAACAACTGTGGGCCTCTTTCCATTAGGGCTGGGCTGCCCTCGGAGACAGGCAGAGCCGGGAGCCCCGCGGAGCCCCGGGACAAGCCAATTAGCACCCTTTTCTAACTGGTTGCACTGATGTCTGTCACCTGCAACCCTCTGAGCCTGGACTGACGCCTGGTTCCGGCCCCTGTGAGGCCCCCCGGGCCTGGCCATGTCCGCTCTGGGGCCCTGGCAGCCCTGGCTGCATGTACCTGGATGCCGGAGGTAGTGAAGTAGGGGATCTCAAACTTGACACTGATCGGGGGCTTGCCCTCCTTGTCCTCCGCCTCCACGCTGGGCAGGCCGAAGTGGGCCCGCATCAGGTACTCCTTGCCGCCCTGGGGGACAACACCAGGGTGGAGGTGGTCAGGCTGAGGCCCCGGGCAAGCTCAGCCAACAGCTGCCCCTGGAGAATGCCAGGCTGCTGGCTTGGCCACCAACCCCTTCCTGTGTGGCCTGCAGTCACCCAGTGCCTTGGCTTCTCCAAAACACTCATACTTGTCCTCCAGGCCTCACGGGCTGCCCCCACCAGCCCCGCTGGGGAAAACTGTTGAATTCTGAGGATGAAGAGAAAATTTCACAAGTTGCCAGGCACAGAAGCCTAGTTGCTTCACGGAAAATAAGACCAACAGGCCTTGGGAGGGAAGAACAGAGAGGGAGAGCGAGCACACACAGCGCAAATGTGGGCTGCCGTGGGACAAGGGCCCCTACCTGCCCAGGCCAGAGTCCAAGTGAACACCCCCAGAGCCCAGTGTCAGGAAGGTGTGTGAAAGCAAGAGGGACATGTCAAAATGAAGAAAAGGGAACAGGGAGAGGCAACAAAAATAAGAGACCAAGGTTGGGGGCTGACTGATGAGCTAGCCCTGGGTCTTGCCCCCAAAGGGCGTGGCTCTGGCCCTGGAAGCTGAGCAATGACTGCAGAGATGGGGCTTGGAGCAGGGCCAGGAATGACTGGAACCCTCCTCTCGGCCACGAGGAGTCAGAAGTCTTGGCCTGGTTGTCCAAGCGCCCGGTGAGTCTCACCCAGAACAGCAGGGAGGAGTGGGGAGCACAGCTCTCGTCACACCCAGGACATGGAGGGTTTTGATTCCCATGCCTCTGGCAACAGGAGTCACTGCCGACCAGAGCTACTTATGCATGCCTCGGGCAGGGCAGGGCAGGGCAGGGCAGGGGAGAGCCACGCCACCCCAGGGCTGAGCTCATGCTCCCCTCCCCGGGATGAAGCGAGTGGTCAGTCTCTGCTCATCAGTGCTGGAATGTGGACTCTGCCTGACTAGGTGCTATGTGCTGAGTGAAGATTCTGGGACAACGAGGGAAGAATAATGTGGTCTCAGCAATAGACGAAGCAGGCAGCAAAGGAATAAAATCAGCTCCATCAGCCTGTGTGTGAAACAACAACCTGACCAAAAATCTGAGCCTTGTAAAAACAAAGTGGAGGGACTTCCCTGGTGGCGCAGTGGTTAAGAATCCGCCTGCCAATGCAGGGCTCACGGGTTCAATCCCTGGTCCGGGAAGATCCCACACGCCACGGAGCAACTAAGCCCATGCACCACAACTACTGAGCCTGTGCTCTAGAGCCCGCAAGCTAAAACTGATGAAGCCTGTGCACTCTAGGGCCCACGTACTGCAACTACTGAGCCTGCATGCCACAACTACTGAAGCCCACGTGCCTAGAGCCCGTGCTCCGTAACAAGAGAAGCCATTGCAATGAGAAGCCTGCACACCACAACAAAGAGTAGCCCCCGCTCACTGCAACTAGAGAAAGCCCACATGCAGCAACAAAGACCCAAACGCAGTCCAAAAAAAAAGGTTAAGAGTAGTAATTAAAGAAAAAGCAAAGTGGAAAATGAAAGCAAAACAATATGCAGAGAGGCAGGCCCTCTCCAGGGCGGGGGGGGGGGGGGGGGGGGATGGAAGTCTGCAAGCCTACCTTGTGTCAGTCATGTCCATGTAAATGGGTTTACTTCTCCTATTAATGAGAAAGACTTAGAGGTTGGCTCAGACCAAAACCCAACTCCACACTGTAAAAGCAGAGTGAGAAAGGCTAAACCAGTAGAAAGAATGGGTGAAGGCATGCCAGCCAAAGTCAAACAAAATAGAGCAGGGCTGCTGCCACAGCAGAGAATTCAGGGCAAAGAATTACAGGTGCAGAGGATGACAGTCCACAATCCTAAAAGCTATTCCTATGATCCATAGGGAGGATACAATAGATAGGAGTATCTATGCACCAAATAACATGGCAGCAACTTTTGTTAAGCAGATGCTACAAGAGAGAAGAGAACCAGAGGAAGGCAGAGCTGGCCCAGCTCTCTGTCTGACTGATGCTGTCAGGCATCATGGCAGACCTCATGGCACATGTGTCAAATTCTCTACCCCAATAACAGAGGCCCTATCTTCCTCTCAACTACGTATGGGATATTCACAAACTTTGACCTTCTATTAGTGCACAATGAACACTTCAATAAATTCTAAAAGCAGAAACAGCATGAATAACATTCTCTGGTCTCAAAGCACCAAATTTATAGTGAAGACAAAATGGAAAAATCCCCTTGACCAGGAAATTCAAACAAAACAAAACAAAACAAAAAAACACTCTCCATTCAATTACAGAATTTCTAAATAATATCAAATATTACATGCCAGATCTATGGGCTATACAGCTAACGCAGGGTTCAGAGGAACATTTGTGGCTTAAATATTCATTTACAGCAATACAAATTTTAAAACAAAATAAAATACATAACTTAAAAACTAGAGCAAAGAAAGGATGAAGAAACTTAAATTAAAGACTTATAAAACTGAAAACTATTACAACAAATAAACTAAAAAGTGAATCTGGAAAAAAAAAACGCAAACCACCAGGTAACGTTATCAAGGAAAAAAGGAGGCACAAGTACGCAAAATAAGATATAACAAGGGAGAAGTAATTGTCATAAGAGAAGGGGAAAAAAAAGACACCAATTTTCTACAACTCTGTGTAGACAAATTTGAAAACCTGGTTAGGATGGATAATTTTGTAGGAAAATACAATTTACCTAAACTGACTCCAACAGAAATAGAAACTCTAAATGGTCTAATTTCCACAGATGAGGTAGAGAAAGTAACAGATACAGATGGTCACACAGTCAAATTCTACCAATCCTCTCAAGGCGAGACGATCTCAAGGCTACTTAAACTGTTCTGCATCATGGAAAAGGGAGACAAAAAAATAATGAAATGGGTACAATATTGATACCTGATAGAGACTGTACCAAAAACAAAATCAATCTCAGTTATGGATCTCCATGTAAAAATCCTACATACAATGTTAACCAACAGGATTAATAGCACATTAAAGAGAAAACAGATCATGATCAAGTGGGGCTTGTCAGAATGCATGGATGGTTCAAGATCCACCCTATGTTAATATAGGAACTTACAGACACTGAAGAGGCGTTTGGGTAAATTCGTTGGCCATTTGTGCTAAAAACACAGTAAAGGGGACTTCCCTGGTGGCGCAGTGGTTAGGACTCTGCGCTCCCAATGCAGGGGGCCCAGGTTTGATCCCTGGTCAGGGAACTAGATCCCACATACATGCAGCAACTAACAGTTCACACGCAGCAACTAAGTGTTCGCATGACACAACTAAGGAGCCTGTGTGCTACAACTAAGGAGCCTGCCTGCCCGAACTAAGACCCAGCGCAACCAAATAAAAATAAATATTAAAAAAATAAAAAATAAAAACACAGTAAAGTAGGACCGAAGTGAACTGTAGCCCAAAGCAGCAACACACTTAAGAGGGGAAACCCTGCCAGCTCCAGTTGGGGGCAAAGCCAGGAGGCTGCTCTCTCCACCGCCATTTACAGGCAATGGAGACAGCAAGTGAAGCAGTGAGACGCCAGAAGCCATAAGGTGCCAAGAATGGGAGAGGAAAAGGGGAAACTGCATCTGGCTGCAAACAGTGTGGAAGAATATCTAAAAACCCATGGGAACTGAAAGAAAAACTACCACAAACAAAAAATTTAGTAAGGTACCAAGACACAAAATTACCATACAAATGTTAGCAACAGTTGTAAGATACAATGGAAGAGAAGACCCCAGTTACCAAACTATCAGCTTAAAAATTATCTTAATGAGGGCTTCCCTGGTGGTGCAGTGGTTGAGAGTCCGCCTGCCAATGCAGGGGACACGGGTTCGTGCCCCGGTCCGGGAAGATCCCACATGCCGTGGAGCGGCTGGGCCTGTGAGCCATGGCCGCTGATCCTGCGCATCCAGAGCCTGTGCTCCGCAACGGGAGAGGCCACAACAGTGAGAGGCCTGCGTACCAAAAAAATTAAAAAAAAAAAAAA